GGATATCTGAACCCCTGGGCACCGCTGGACTCCTTCCTCAGGGCTTTTCCAGGAAATGCCACGTCACCACCCCGAGATGGGTTTTGGAAGGGATTGGGCACTTTCAGATGATGCCCAGGTGGTGACCGGGGCGTGGATGAAGACCAGTTCAAAAGCAGGTTGCAGACTTTCTTCCCCTGTCTGTGATGGGCGCTGATGTCCCCTTCCTCCTGATTCCAGTTTCCCAGGCAAGGCTTGCAGCAGACCCAGCAGCAGCAGCAGACGGCCGCCCTGGTGCGGCAGCTCCAGAAGCAGCTTTCTAGTAAGTACCCTCCGTCAGGAGCAGATGGCTCCCGGGCATGAGAAACAAGCCAGTCCCCCAAAACTGCATTGGCCTTGGTGCCGTTTTCATGTCCCATTTAGTCCAGGTTTTTCTCATTCTGTTCGGTTTCGGTTTGAATGCTTCTTTTCCTGGGGAAAAAAAAACCCCAATCTTTTCCTTGAGTTCAGTGAAGCTGTTTTCCTTTTGCTTCCATCTGAATCTGGGAATGTTTCTTTCTATCTGGAGAACCCTGGTGGAACGCCAGGTGCTTTTCTTATAGAGCTAAATGCCCCAGAGAACAGCTTGGCTGATGCCTTCAAGTCTACTGACAGGAGGGTAGGTGGCCACCCAGTCTCATACAGAGAGGCCAGCACCAGACCCATCTCTGGGTCACTAGGGCTGAGACCGCTCTTACCACTGCGCCATCCTACCCTTCCTGATGGCACCTGGGAGCAATCAAAACCTAGAACGTGGCAGGTGGCATCTCTGGGCAGTGTTCCCCCCGGTGTTCCGCGGCTGTGCAGCGGGCTGCCTCTCTAGGGTACGTTCCACCCACCTGTTTCATCAGGTCTCGTCTCAGTGCCAGCACACCTCGTGCTCCCGTGAAACCATTTACCCTGTGCTGGAGACACAGGATGGGGCATCCTTTTAGAAATGGGAGTGCGTCCCCTGGTACAAAGAATATTGGTGCCAACTCGACAGCTTTTATCTGGGTCCTGCAAGTTTTCCTCCGTGCAGTGACGGGGGACCAGCAGTTTCTCCTGGGTCTCGATTCTGTGCTCCTGAGGCCGAGTGACGAGCAGAGCGCCCTGAGGCAGTGGTGCGGATCTGGTGGGAATCGTAAGGAAGTGGGTCAGGGTGTGTAGAACTGAGGGGCAGCTTGGTTCTCGTCTGAACTTACTGCCTGGCTGCGGTCTGTGTTGTCTTCCTGGGCAGAGGGAATACCTCCCTTATACCTTGTGTCTCTCCCAGGGCAGAACCAGGGTCTCTTTTTTTACCCCTCTTTAAAAGCTATTTTCCTCATTTAATTTCAGTGAAATCATGTAAATCAGTCTTTTCCACTGACTGTTCAGTCAGTGTGGTCCACTAAACACGTGTGGTTAAAGTTTCATTGTTTCATCATTTTTCCATGGCTAAAGAGAAGATATAATTTTAAGGTTGAGACAACCTGTTCTGTTTTAAATTGTTTCAGTGAAGCCATGATTTTTACAGAGTAGCACCTATCTGGGGAGCACACTTGGTTCCTGTTTGCCACAGCTCAGAAAATGCAGCTTTTTCTTTTTTAAGCCATCATTTCTGGAGCACTTTTTCGGACCCAGGCACTCTTTGACTTTACATGTATTAATTCACTTAATTCCTCACCCATCCTGTGAGAGGAGGTATGATTACTGTTCCCTATTACAGACGAGGAAACAACTGAAGAATGAGGACGTTGACTTGTTTGCCCAAGGTTACTCAGCCAGCAGCTGGGACTTGAACTCTGATTGGTCCCCTTCCCAGGGCCCACCTCTTAGCCACATTATATATCCTGCCACCTGACATCCGCAGTGCTGGCAGCCTCCTTTGCTACATATCAGGAACTGAGCCGCACCGCCCTCTTCACAAGCCCAGAGGGCTCCGTTTTTGTCAGTCCCTGTGAGTGGGGCCTCTGGATTTGAGTAGTCCCACCAGCACTGGGCAAGCAGTAGGTACTTCTAAGCCTGTGTCATTCTTCTGTGCCTCCTCACTACTCTTTATGTAGTCTGTGTGTGCACACATATGTACGTGCACAGGCACACACTCACGTCACACGCAGCCACTCTCACGTGCACACACTCTTGCACAGTTCTCACTGAAGGATCTACAGCCCTTTGCAGAAAACTGGCCAGCTTCAAGCAGCTTTGCTCTCACCTGTTACAGTGTCAGTGTTAAGGTAGAATCTCTGATGTGCTTTTATAAAGTTTTGAGAACTTTGAATATTTTATGATACTTACAGTCCTTTTTGTATGTGAGCATCAAGTTGTTTCTTAGTTGAGATAGAAATTTCTGATGGCCAGTTACCCTCAGCCCAAGGCCTTGTGCTGCCTTGGCAGGGGTGGGACTCCGACGCAGAGCTGGCCTTGCTGCAGAATGAGTAACGCTGTGGTATTAAGACCCTGCCACTGAGGTCTCTGGGCTAGTGTGATACTCCCTGACTAGTTGGTCTGTTCCCCTGTTCCTGAGTGAGACTGGAACTGAAAGCAGTGACGGGAGCGTACCATCTACCGATGGCACAGTTTTGCATCTGCAGTTTTATTTGAATTTCTTCTTCTCATTAGGTAACCAGCCGCAGCAAGGAGTGACTCCCTATGGGCACCCGTCACAATTCTGAATCTGGAAGAGGACAAGACGTGAAGTTTTGTGTTTGCACTGAAAAATAGAAAATCAAATTTAATGCATTAGTCATCTTCAGAAATATCCCTTTGTTGTTTCATTTCTTTGAAGTTTTCCTATATTTTATGCTACATTTAATACAAAGGCGTTTAAACAGAAAGTAAAGGAAAAGGTGTGGTTTAGTTTGGTTTGATTCAACTTTAAAGTAGGTTGAAAAATATGGATCATGTGGGCCTACTCCAGGAAGAGTTTGGTAGCAGACTTTATGAAATTGGTGCTTTTTTTGAATCTCATAGTTATAGAAAGAATGAATTATGGTGGATTTAAAATATTTACATATTCATTAATGATAAAGAGGGGTTTTTTGTTTGTTTTTGTTTTTGTTTTTGTTTTGGGCAAACTATGCCGGACCAAACTACTGATTTGAAAGACTTGTCAGATCTTGACAGGAAAGTGACCCATTTACTCTGCATTCACCTTTGGTGGTGAAATGGACATTGATTTGCATTGCTCTAATTTGAAATGTTGGTAATTTCATAAGCACTTTATAAACTTTGTTCTTATTTATGTAGGAGTTTTCTTTGCTTTTGTTGTGGTCAAAGGTGCTGACACAGATTGTTTGCTTAGTTCGTAAACTTCTTAGACCAAGAACTTAAAACCAAGGCTTCTGTGAGAACCACCCGAAGGTACGTGGAAGCCCGTAAGAAGTAACTGTTCTAACGTTTCAGTGGTGAGACCATTGACCAGAGTCTTTGTGAAGGTTCAACATGTAAATTCTAAAGGCCCGAGAGAACCACAGTGGAGTTGTTCCAATTACTTATTGCCAGACTTGGCAAAAATGACTCTGTCCAGTTCTGGTTCTCCTGAACCTTACGCCAACTTGAGAAAAAAAAAATCTCGCAGCTGGCCTGAGGTTCCACAGTGCTCAGACTTGACATGGTTTCCAGAGAATCTGGCCCCCAAGTCCAGAGGGCTCTGGTTTTCATAAGAGATGTATTTGATGTTTATTTTGTATGGTAAGTATTTGCTATTTTGAATTTAATTATTAATGTTGGTGTCCGTCTTGGTTGTGTATTGCATATACTGTATTTATAAATTGGTGCAAAAAGCACAAGTATAGTAAATTATACATCAAATTTATTATAAAGAAATAGTAACTATTTTAACTTTGTTCAAGTATGTGGTAATTTGCTCCTATTAGAGTAAAAAATACAGTAAATTATTATCAGTTTGTGTAACTTAAGAGTATTCCATATAATATTTTTTTAGATTTAGATGCATAAAATTTTGAATGTGAAAATTGCAGGGCATTTTAAACCATGTGGAGGATATTTTCCCATGTTCTGTGTTAATTCATTTTCTTTTGCCATAAGAATTTTCCTGTAATGTAGTCGAGCATACTGTGAATAGACTTGTCTATAATGAGCAAACCATGTAGAACTACTTTTTTTTAAGTGCAGCTGGTACAACCTTAGTAGATCATTTCCTTTGCAAATCATTATATAAGTAATTTATATCTTCCTAGGTGAGTTACTCATTGCAAAGTTTGACTCATGCAAATGACCTCAAATACACGTCCGCTTACTTTGCTGTGGCAGCACCCGTGTGAACTGCTTTGTACACTGTGAAATGATTTCCCTCCAGCCTACTCATTTCGTGTTTACTCTGGGCTGGAAAAGACTTTGCCAAAACATTAAAGACCATTCTTTTCACTAAATTAACATATTCTATCTGCTTTCAGAAGGTGAATCTTTACATTTCAGCTAGTTTTGTATATCAGGATTTTTGGGGTTTTTTTTCCTTCCCTCTTGAGAATCATACTTAGCGTTTATGAAGTTATTTTTTTCTTCAGAGTAATAATATCATATAATGATTGCCTTGGCAGAACGTCCGAAACGTGAATGTTGTGCCTAGTGAGTGAGGGTCGTGTTCTGTCCTGATTGTTACTTTACTTAAAGAATGACTGGTATGTAAAATGCCACTTCCAGTTTGAGCCCTGTGTGTCTGTAGCTCAGCACTGCAGACGTCAGTAATACTGTTTCTTGAATGAGTGTTGTAGTTGTTGCATAGTATTTGTATGCACTTTATATTTTGCAGAACTTAGTGAAATTAATTTATTAATCATTTTGCACATGAAAGCTGTGGGGCATACCTTTTTGTTGTTGTGTCCTTTTTTTTAGGTGGGGAAGCTAAGATATGGGTAAGGCCCTATGATTTGAAGATTTGCCAGAAAGTTGAGGAAAAACAGAACTGGTTTTCCTCTGTATATGGTAAAGACAGAAACTGGAAATTTCAACCTAGCCTTATCATATTTCCTCCCACTTAATCTTCTTTCCTGAGGGTTTTATTTTTTTTAAGAATATGCATTAATTTGCATTAAAATGATCACAAAGGAAAGCCCTGCCCTTTGGCCAAACCTGGTAATTTGCTTGGTGAGATAGATTATTTCCAGATAAGGTGGAGATCCCAGGTCCCTTTAGAGATAAGACTTTGAAATAGAATAAAGTTGGACTTAAGAGGCACTTAGATCTATACCTGTTTACACTGTAGGCTTCTTCCGTATAGGGTTACATTAGTCTTCGTATTTATTCCTGTTGGCCTGGAAGTAGAATGAGATCACTGTTAGAACGAGTGTCCTTTGACCTCCTGTGGCCACAGGATACCAACAGCAGAGAAAGTAGCAATCAAGTCACCTCTTAGGTGGGGCGAGCTGAAAGTTGGTGTGTGATGGAAACACAATGAGGTGGACCACCCCCTGCCCAGTTTATCTCAAATGAAGCTCTTGGTTTTGTGTGCTGAGACAGCTGACCAAGACCTATGACATTTTCTTCTTCATTTTCACTTATTAAGGTTCCTATGATTCTAATAATAGGCAAATAGTTGTATAGATGCTGGAGAAATTACACTGGAAAATCTTAGCCTCTAGAATTATAAAAGATGCATCATGATATCCCCCAAATTAATTCCAGTTGAGTTAAGCATGTAATATAAATTCAGTGAATTACAAAAAGCAACATTTTTGTGTAGGCTTGATCAAATTTAAAAATTTAAGTACTGTAAAACTCCACTGTATGTATTAAATCTAGGTTTTCCCAAACATTTCCCCGTCACATAAAGGATTATCACTTAATGGAATAAATGCTCATAAAGCAATGCTTCCTCCTCAGAAAATTTTCCTTATAAACAGTTCCAAACCAGGGATTCCTGTGCTTGATTTTGAAGTTACAAAGACGTTTCACTGTACTTTAGAAACCTTTTCAGTTGGTTTATTTGGGTAAAGACGTTGTCAGTCCCTTTTCATGTTTTATGATGTGCAGGTGTTAAGCTGCTTTTGCCACGTGGAAAGTCAGCCTGCATTTATCTTCAAATGCAGTTACTGAAACATTTTTGTATTCCCCATCAGTGAAAGTTTTCAGTGTGCACAAAATGGTGACTCATAATCGAAACAGTTCAGTGCTTATTTTCTGTGGGTTTTAGTAAAATATTTATAAGCCAACCACAATATTTATACATCAAGACTGCAAATTTAATCTCTTCCATTGTGTCTGTCCCCAGTGCCATGCCTGTTACACTGATAGAAGGTGGACACTAGGCAAATGCTAGTGAAAGAAAAAACAGTCCGTTCTTTACTGAAGAATTCAGGTACATTAGCCACTTGTTATTTTATGGTTAATAGTTTTCTCTTAATGTTCGTTGTTATTTGTTGGCAAAATAAAAGTGCCTTAAGTTAAAAGTTTGTTTTGAGATCCATTAAAAAAAATCAGTATCAGTTCATAATGCATTTATTTACAAGTCCTGTTTTTTTTTTGCATGTCTATTATAAATTTAATATTATAAATGTATTCAAATTCATTTACATGCCTATGGCTGCCTTTGATTAAACTTCTTCCAAAAAATCAATTCTGTACAGATGTTGGCTTTTTTCAAGCAGTTTTAAGTCAGATGACTTGAATATACGTTGTTGCATAATCACTTCCAAGTGAATTCTTTGCTGTGCATTTGTATATCCCTGAATCCGAGGTTTGTGGGTTTTGAATGACTAGAGTACCTTGTGGGGGAAAAGACGGAATTCCGTGTGTCCTCACTTTGTTTGCCGCTGAGAACGGGGAGTGGTCAGGCATCTCCCAAGTGATTTCAGGCTTGGGGACTCCCAGAGCCACACAGTGGAGCTGAACAGCCACTCCTGTCCTTGTGAGGATGCTCCTGGGTAGGCGATTTGTAATTCGCGGAGGGTAGGCGACAACCATTACTGGAACAGTAATCAGTGCATGGCCAACACTATTTTGAGCTTTACAAATATAGTTTCCTCTGTCATAAGCTGTTGCGTCTTTGATGACTAATGTGCCGTTTTCATGCAGTATGTATTTGCCATTAATTTGAGGCCTGTCTATTACGTAGCTACTTGGTACAGTCCATTTGATATTTGGCTTGGGGCTTCCATCAGCGACGCAGTGCAATGATACAGCGTCTCCACTGATACAGTAAACTGTTCCTCGTGTGTAAGTGAGAATAACTGGCTTCTGGCCAATTTCCAATATGATTAGCTTCTCAATGTAGCCAACTTTATTTCTGGCTGCACACCGGTACTTTCCTGCGTCGTCCCGACTTGTTTTATAAATGATAAGTGACCCGTTGCTTGCTATCAGATGCTGAGAATTTTGTGGTCCATTGGAAAACTGTGTGCCATTTGGTAAAATCCAGATTATTTCAGGTGGTGGGTTTCCATCAACAGAGCAATTCAACGCTGTGGCCTTTCCAAGCGGGGCAACTATTTTTTCGTTAAATGGATTTCTGAAGGTCGGTCTTCTCAGCATTTCCAGTACTTCTAACTGTACCACTAGCACACTCTCTCCGCCTTCGTTCCGAGCCACACAGATAAACTCGGCTGAATCCGAAAGCCTCACATTCCTAATTTCCAAGGTTCCATTGTTATGGACTGTGATTCTGCTTCCGTAGTATGGAGCCGTGAGGAAAATATTGTCTGGCATGATCCACATGATTTGAGGAGACGGTGTCCCTTCGGCTCTGCAGTCAAAGTGTTTCTTAGAATGCCTCACAGCCGTGGCTTTAATGACAGTTTTGTTTGTATACAGACCATTGATTAATGGAGGCTTGGCGACTACGTCTAGTTTGTACATTTTGGTGTCATCCCCACCAGGATTTCGGGCCACACAGACATACTCTCCAGAATCGAGCAGTTTCACTTTGTTGATGGACAAAGACCCGTTGATGTGAAACGTGTACCTATCTCTGGAGAATGAAATCATGTCATTGGAAGGCAGCAACCAGAATATTTTTGGCTTGGGCTCCCCAGTGACCTCACAGTCAAAGACGGCTGTGTCTCCAGCCCTGACTCTCGCGCTGGTCTTGTGACCCTGCTGGATCCGTGGGGCAGCTGTTACTACCGTTAAGTGGACTTTCATCTCGTCCTTCCCTAGCGTGTTCTGGGCATAGCAAGTGTAATCTCCTTCTTCTGCCATCCCAACTCTGTTGAAGTATAAGGTTCCATTGTCAAAGAGTGTGAACCTTCTGGTCCTGTGGCCACTGTCGTCAGCCTGCATGGCGTTGTTGATCATCGTCCCATCGGGCAAACTCCAGGATATCTCGGGCACTGGTGAGCCAGAAGCCTTGCAATCGACTTGGAAGTCTTTCCCGTGAAACACTTGCTTTTTAAAATGTTGCTTGTGGTCAATTTTGGCAGGTTTCCGTCTTAGGCTGACGTGCATCAGGATCAGATCATCCCCCATTTTGTTTCTTGCCACACACAAGTAATCCCCACCATCTTTTTCTGTCACTGATCCAATAGACAGGGATCCATTCGGGTAGACACGGATTCGGCTGCCCATTCTGAGGGGAAAAAAAGAGACTGATTTCAGTGTGCAGCTGTTAGCAAGGGGCAGGGAAATTGTCTCATTTACATAGGGTTAGCGTATGGACATTTTCTTAAACTGCTGCAATGAAATTAAAATCAGACTGGCTTATTAACTGTCTCTTAAGCTGTTCTGAAAGATGAAATTAACTGAATAGGCGTAATTTAGTGCAAACAAGTAGTATTTCTTAGATGGACTTCAAATGAATCTCCTTTGCATGGCTATTAGAAAAAAACATTTTAATTGTGAGGAGAATGTGAGAAATACCATTTCCTAGACCTATGACTGTCTTGACCACTTTACATATCAAATGATCATTTGGTGATATACATCAGTAAAGAAATTTTACACAAATTTACTTGCTCAGAAAAGATACTGGATTGTACTTTTTAAGGAGATGTTAGTAACTAAACAATTAGTTATTTGGTGATAAAATGCCAAGGTAAGCCTCGTTAGAAGCTTGCCGCAGCATGTGTCCTTTGCAGGCAGCTGTGAAGTGACTCTGGTCTCTGCATCGTATTGAACCGCATGAACACCATTTTTCTCTCTGAAGCCACTACACAGCCTGCCATTACCATTTTGAACCACCAGATGGCAGATCTTTCCTAGTAAAACAATCTAATTTTTCCAAGACTAGTGGAAACTTAAGTGCTAAAAACGCAATCAAAAACACCCATTCGTTTCTCTTCTAATTTTTGGCAACACGAGCTAATCAGAGAAACAAGAGGAAAAAGTGTGGATGACCTTACAAAGCATAACTGCTAACCAAGTCAAACAGCCTCAGGGCATTTTTTTTTATCTTCCAACAAACATACTGTAAGTAGGAAGAATGTTGTAGGACAACTTACAAGTGCCATGTTCTTTTTACTTATTTTTTTCTTCAAGCCTGGAAAGAATTTGTCTGGCATATAAACCAAGGAAAGATGATCATAATAGATGCACTTAATGAAGGGAAAGGAAACCTCCCAGGGTCTTTACATTTACTTTTTAATCTTCAGGTAGTTCCCCCACTATACAGCTGAAAATACTGATATTTAGAGAGACTTAGTACCTTGCTCTTTTCACCATGCTACCCTGCCATCTGCTGTCATCCTTCCCTAATGTTTTGTAAGAGCGCTGTTTCTCAAACCCGGGTGCACATTAAAGTCATTTGTATGAAATAGTACTGGTGCCTGCGTCCCACCTCCAGACTTGCTGACTTAATTGGCGTGGAGTGTGACCTTGGTATCAGGACTCTTAGTCCAAATGATTCTTATGTGCAGCAAAGTCTGAGAACCACTGCTCTAAATCTTTGTTCTCAATGCGGTTCCCTCATTACTTGCATCAGAATTTAAGATGCATATTTTCTGATTTCACGGTTCAGAGTTTCTGATTCAACAGATCTGGCCAGGGATCCAGGAACCCCCTGCTTAATTAAGTTTGGGAACTGGTCTCAAACTTGAGTGCGCACTAAATTCACCTGTTTAAGAACACAGATTGCTTGTTAAAACATATATTGGATTCAAGTTCTCAACTGATGCTAATGTTCTTGGTTGAGGGGACAATCCTTTGAAAGCCAGTGACTTAAAAAAAAAACCGTCCCCCACCCAAAAACCTGATGCATCTGAAGTTGTAATATATAAAAAGAGACAGAACTATAGCTGTTTCCTTTTATAAACTGGTATTTTTAAGAGGAAATTTACTTTTGAAAGTGTTTTCCCTGAGTAGAGGAAAGAATTGTTTATGAAGATTAATGCACAGGCAAGTATCTGCAGTCTTCTAAAGCAGCACTTCTTGGACTTTATTGTGCATGTGATTAACCTGGGGATCTTTTTAAAGTGCAGATTCTGATTCAGCCCATCTGAGGTGCAGCCTGAAGTTCTGCTCTTGTAACAAGCTCCCAGGTCACGAGAAGCAAAGTTCTGAATCAGAGAAAACACAAATGCTGTGCTGAAGCATAGGTCACAAAAGTTATATTAAAAGTTGTGGAGGTAGGTCACTAGTGCTGAGTTGAGACGGTTAAAAAAAAATATCCAGAAAAGGCTATTTTTAGTTCAGCTGACAAGTAGGCTTTTTTTTTCTTGCATTGGTTTCTGCATGGGTAGTGAAACTGTATTCAAAATTACACAGAATAACGAGCAGTTTCTGGGTAAACGAGAATCGCCAGCACATGCTGTAGAATTTCTTTTAAATGCATTAATTTCAGAAAAGAAGTGGCATTCAGCATTAATGCTGAATGCTTATAATGACTATAATTATAATGTTAAATACAAAAACTGGTAAGCCATTGAAAATATTTGATGCCATAAATGGGCATATGTATAGTAGCTAGCTAACAAGCATAAACATGACTTCTGAAATTTACATTTCATAACTCAGCATTTTTAAATTTTAAATCTAAATTAATTTCAATTTTAACATTTAGCCAGGCAATTTTGATGACTTATTTGAAAAACCTGAAAATTAACATTTACTTTGGAGTTAAAGATCACAAGTTAAATCATTAACTATATCCATTACTAACTTAGTTTGACACTAGAAAAAATATTCTAAGCATAAATTCATATTATGTATAACTTTTCCTACATGTATATTTTCTATTAATAGACACATAAAATGGAAATGCTCACCCCCACGTTTTCTGTCATATGAAAAAATCACTGCATGCAAATGGCAAATATTACATCATCTTTGAAAAGTAATAATTATAAGATTAGTCTATAGAGAAAACAGATAAAAATCAAGATGAATATGCCCATAACAGAACATGCTAGAGAGCGTGTGTATGTATGTGTCTGACACGGTCAGAGTGATGGTGGTCCTAAATACATTTCACCTTGTGGAGGCCTCAATGCTGTGACCTTTCATAAAGTGTTTTGCAATTTTAGGGCAGAATAAGTCAAGTACAGATTGTTCTAAAATTTAAAATGTTCAGTAGGAGACTCTGAAGAGTGAAATAATGAAGTACGTCTCTTCAGAACCTTGACTGCATTACAAAATCCCTTCTTAGTTTTGGAGAGGGAGATTGAGTACATTTACACAGTTGCCATTTTAAAACTGTCACTATTATGGGAGCAAATGAGATTTTTATTCTTTTTAATTACATAAACTCAGTAAGAAGTTGGCCCTTAGAGTTAGGCATATGAAAAGATTGGTTTTTATATAATTTATATTATTTTCTATTACTCTTGAAAGGATTAGGTCTCTTTAGAAAAACTTACTTTTATGTGCAGAGTCTACGTGCTGCCAGCCTCACGGTATCACATTTTCCACTTCAGAAGTTGTACAGCTAAATAGATAAAGAAGATAATCTCAACACAAAGGTATGGTTTACCTGTGCCACTGGTCGACGACGGCCTTAGATGGTAGCCTCCAGATTATTTTTGGTTTTGGTTCCCCGGTGGCTGAGCAGTTCAGTAGTAATTTGTCCCCTAAATTCACCTCCGTCCATTTCTGGGATGCAAATTCTATCCTGGGGATGGTCTCTCGCTCCTCCACTGTAAGAATTACCACTCTTCTTTCCGAACCAGTGGAGCTGGTAGCAATGCATTCGTAAGTGCCCCTGTCTGAAGAGGCTACATTTCTTATAAACAGAGTCCCATTTGAAAATAAGAACTTGGAATCGATCAATTGTAATGGTCTCACCTCAGTGCCATCGGAGAGGACCCAGTGAACGGCGGGCGGAGGAGTTCCTTTTGCAGTACAGGGCAGTTTCAAGCTTCCACCCCAGGTCCCTGCAACAACTTGCCTCTTTTGCTCCAGAATAACAGGCGGGGCTGCAACGACTTGTATTTTAACCAGCAGTGCGTCCTGGCCCACCGGGTTGCTGGCCACGCACTTGTAGAAGCCCCGGTCGTAAATGCTGATGAAGTGGATGAGCAGCGTTCCATCAGATGTCACCAGGGCCTGCCGATTCCCCTCGGATGATTCAGAGACCACTGTTTGGTTTGCAAGAATCCAGGAAATCGTAGGGCTCGGCCTACCTTCAGCCCTGCACTTCAGTTCCACCGTGCTTCCAGAATGGACTGTGATGTCTTTAGTACGTCTCTCCAGGATTCTGGGGGGATAGGAAACCACGGACAAGGTGACATGCAGGCGATCTGTGCCAAAAGGATTGGATGCTGAGCACAGGTACTGTCCACGGTCCTGAATGTCCACCCTCTGTATGGACAGGGTGCCATTGGGGAGCACCTGGAACCTGCTATTCTGTTTCCTTTTAGACAAATCAAGTCCTGATAAGAAGAAAGAAATTTATAGGCATAGGTCATCAAAGTTTAGACAGAAAACAAATAGTTAACATGGGAGTCTCAAGAGGAAGGCTATCTTTTTGTTAGGCTACTGGGAACAAATACATCTGAGTCTTCAGATTGCTAAAATTATTTCTGGATTTTTTCTTATCCCCATAATGTTAATATAAAAGCCAGATGGTTCAACACAAGGACCACTCTCTCTTTTTCAAACATTTCTTTGATCTGCTTTCAAAGCATTTCAAAAAAAAACAGCCTTAACATATGCTTTAAAACCTTCTATGGAGCAAAACACCATGCACGTATCAAACGAGGGTATTAATGGTTTCTGTGTCTTAGATAAATGTCATGTTGATGTTGATTCTTTGGCGATGTAACCCTGAAACATAACAGTATTTTGTTTTGTAACTAAGGAGGACTGGCTGTAAAGAAAGTTTCAAATACCTGATGAGACTCTGGTCCAGTGGATAGTAGGCTTGGGGTTTCCAACAGCCTCACAAGGAAGAAAGGCATCTGAGTTAGCAGGAACAGTAAAACTTGCTGCTTTTCCTCCAATGATCCTGGGCCTTTCAAATATATCCCTAGACAAAGACTCAAGGGGAAGGAGTTCGGAAGTTGTTGTTTTTTGAACTGGTGTCTTATCAAAGGTACTTTCCTTTGCATTCTTCTGTATATCCCAATTTGATGCATGAGTGGTGTCCTCTGGCAAACCTGGAGCAGGCAGTACGCTCACAACTGGCTTTTTGCCTTTTCCGGCAATTTCTGGGTGTGACTTGCGCCAAAAGTGGTTTTCTGACCAGAGAGAGGGAGTCAATTTAGAATTCTGTGGTTTAACTGTTATTAGTGCCGGCATAGGAGTAGAATGTAACAGAATGGAGTCAATGACGTGGGTGGTTCCAATGGTGAGTGTGGCATCTGGGTGAGTTTTGGGAGATGCTGCTGCTGACTGCTGTGGATTAGCATTGTGCCTTGAAGATTCATGTGGCTCAACCATTGTACTTATCCTCATCCTGAAAATGGGAGTTGTCAGATTGTCAGTAACTTGACTTTGGTTACTCAAGGGAGGGGAGGTGGGAATTGGCACTGAAGTGGCACTGGCGCTTAGGAATGGTGGCGTGGATGCACGTCTGATGATAGTCGTGGTACTTTGGTGTGGTTTGCTGGACAAAGTGGTTTCAGAAGCAGCTGTGCTCTTCAAAGTCTGAGTACTTTCCTGGGGTGGTTCTTCAATTACACCTGTCAGATTAAAGGGTCTCGGATGAAGACCTATTGTGCTTAACATTTCTTTTATGTTGTCTACAGGGGAATGAGTAAAAGACACAGTGGGCTTGGTTGAAGTTTCAGCTGCGGTTAGAACAGGAGGTGTCACAGTGGTGGATGTAATGAACCCAGAAGTCTGACTGGGAGAGGTGTTTGGGTCATTCCAGTTCTTCAGAGGCTCCTTTTCCCCTTGTCCTTTTTGTGCTCTGGGTCTGGCTATTTGGGTTTTGTTGATAATGACAGATGCTGGGGTGGTAGGACCAGTTGTCAGTGTGGCTGTTTGCATTGATAGGAAATTTGTACTTGATTCTTCACTTAAGGCAGGGTAACTGGGTAGGAAGGGCAGCTCCTTTGCTGTTCGGCTTCCCCCAGGACTGTGTGTTTTAGTGGTACTGTGATGAGTTGCAGCTGATGTCATGGGTGGACTTTGCATCACACTTGCTGAGAGTGTTGTGGAATGGAAGGCGGAAACTTTATCTGTGGGTAAAGCAGGAGCTATTTTAGGAAGCACCGTGTCTGTGCTTTTTTGGGAACCGAATTTATGCTGATTCTTTAGCTTTTCTTTTTGGATACGGTTATTTACAAATATCTGATACCAGGGAATTTTTCTTCTTAAAAATCTTGTAACAGCTATAGTAGTAGGCAAAGGTGGCTTGATGGTGGGACCTGGAAGTGGCGATACAATCACTGAGTCTCTTTTAGCTTCACTCGTGTTAGACTCGCTTGGGTAACTAGTATTTGTCATACGAATTTTTTCCATAGATCTGGCTGTTGGGGCACGAGTCATGACTGCACTAGTTGGAGTCACTTGGGTGCTTTCAGCGCTGAAATATTTTATTGTGGGTGTTGTTTTCTCAACACCTACATTTGGTTTGTTCTCAGATAGTAATGATGGATTGTGGACTGGAGTTGTAGATTCTTCTGCTGTGACTCTGGCAATTTCTGCTTTGGGGAGGGTGATGGGGGGAGAACTTGGAAAAGGCAGTGCTGCTGCAAGAGTGGTGAGTCCCTCTCGGGGAGAGCAGGATGGGCATCCCACATTGAGCTCGGTGGCTGAAAGTGCAGTAGTCTTTTCTTCAGAAGAACCTCTCAGTGTTGGCCTCACAAAGCTGTATCTATGCTGTCGGAGAATCGGAGTTCTATATGGGCTGATAATTCGCCCCCTGTTCCAAATTCTCCTCCGTCTTCCAAAGCGTCTGGACAGTTGCATATTAATTGTACTATTTCTAGGAATCTGTAACTGAGAATGAGCAGCAGTGTATGGGCCCGAAGGGAGCTTAGAGATGCTAAGTTTTTGAGTAATGTGAGAATGGGAGTGATTGCTCCTGGGTTTGCCGACTCTTGGTACAGATGTCTGATGACTGTTCGTGGCATTGAATGACGCTAAAAATATGTCAGCTTTGCTGTTAGCACTAGTAAGCATTTTGATATGGACATCTTTGATCGTAGCCCCCCCAGTTACTGGGGGTGCACTCTGCAAATGCTCTTTTGTCCCCACATAATCAACATTCTGAAACTGAGTTGCTTCAGATCGTAGAGCAAAGACAGTAGACAAATTCTGGCTGGCTGTGCCTTGCATTTTGCTTGATGTGGTTGGGTTTATCTTGTTGGACATGGCTCTAGTTTTAATAGTAGTAGATGGTCTGAAATCTGTCGGGTTTTCAGGTGGTAGTATCTGGGGACTCACAACTGGGGAGACTTCGGGGCCAGCACTTGTCATGGGGCTATCAGGTAATTTTCTGGAATCAGCGGTCACTGTCCTTGCTACAATGTTGGGAGTTTTTGTTGCCAGGACCGTAGCTTCCTCATCTGGAAGGAGCATGCCTGAGGAGTCTACTTCCTCAGCAGGTATTTCCAGGAGTTGGGTGATTGGTGGAGATGGCTTTGCTGTGGTACTTTCTCCCTTCTCTGGCGTGGTGGTCTTTTTAGCTTTCTCCAAAAGTGCTGCCCAGTGCTGTGGGTCAACTTTCCGGGCAGAGGGAGGGAACTGCCTCCTGTGCTCCCTGAAATGTTGGCTGGCTGACTGTCCACGCCGCTGGTGTGTTAACACCCTATGTTTATACTTCTTATTTGCATTCAAGATTTGTTTTCCAGCCTCAGCTCCCGTTGGAGAAGATGTGGGGAGCTGTGCAGCAGGTGGGTCCTTAAGCTGAGCAGTGGGACTGGGCTCATCAAGTCCAGATCCATCTATTTCTGTATTATGCTCCACTGGCCTTTGACCTTTTGTTTTGACTGAAACTTGGTTAATTAAAAAATCAACCCCCGATGGGTTGGCTGCTACACACCAATAATAACCCTGATCTTTCTGACTGACCTGTGGTATTTTTAGTGTGCCATTGTGAAGAACTTGTTTATCTCTTGTGGACTGGTGGAGCACAGTGTTTCCGGGAAGAACCCAGCTAACAGAGGCATCTGGGGTACCAGTAGAATGGCATGGAAGGTCAAGTGTTTCACCAATGAAGACTGTATGGTGAGCCCCATTTTCCTGATCAGCTTCTATGTAGGGCTCTACCACAGTAATCCTGTAGGTGAGGATGTCTGCGTCATTGTAATTGGTGCTTATGCAGTGGTACACGCCTGTGTCAAAACTATCAGCCATCTGGAGTTCCAGTTTTCCACTTTTGTCTATCAGGATCCGCCCATCCTCACTAACATACGGGGCTCTCACTTTACTTCCATCAGCCAGAAGCCACTCCAAATGTGGGGGAGGGTCTCCTTGGCCTGGGCAGTCTAGGTCAATGGTCCCACCAACCAAAACAGTGTGTTCCAGCTTAGTACTGTTATCCCTGGAAATCATGGTCCACTTATGTTTCTCTGGCCTCATCTCTTCCCTCGGTAAAGTGATGTGAGCATTGCTCGAGTACTGGATCTGCAATGTACCGAGTGTGGTGGCAGTTCTGTTTAGCTGCAAGGAGATTTGGTCTTGCATTAACCAAGGGGGATCTGCTCTGAGATCAGCCTCTATATTGGTGAAGATGTTTTCAGGCTTCAGTACCACCTGTTTGTATTTGTAGCAGAGTTGTGGGGTTTCAGTGAGCAAGTGGCTCCTTTCTAGTATCAGAGGAGAGTCACTGTACAAAGCCAGAACTTGCCACACTGGCTGAATGTGACTGTAATCTAGGTGACATGCCAGAAATGTTGCAAATGATGCATTTAGCACGATGTGGTCATTTTCTTCAGTGAATACAGTGGATGATGTCATTGAGGGTTTTGGGATACTGCAGACCATGTTAGCTTCATTTCCAGACTGGTCTGTCATATTCAAAGTGAGGGAGCCGAAGGGTGCCATGAAATCTTGGGGAGAGATGGACACAGAACTGCTGTCTTCCGAAACAGTCAGGCTCTTCAGTTTCAGGGAGGGGTCAATGGTTGGCTTGGTACACAGGAAGGCTGCAGCTGGGACTATAACCAGGGGCTTCCCTTTAGAGGTCCCGGGGTTCATGCAAAGTGGACACTGCTGAGGATTTGAGGGACTTCTGTCTTTTTTGCATTTTATTATGTCTAGAAAAGAGGACAGTTGGGCTTTATGAATAAACATTTGAACATTTTGGATAAATAGCTTTTGCTAGAATTTAAAACAAACAATTAGAAAATTTTAGTGTTCGATAGAAAGTCTCCTACTTTTTTTTTGTCTTTGGGTTGATTTCTAAAAGTGATATTGTCTATATACCCAGTCATAATATTATATCCATAAGCACAATGATTTTGTTTGGTTCACTGCTGTATTTCCCATGCCTAGAAAGCACCTGATATACATTTGGCACTCAGTAAATATTGGTTAGTTTCCTTAGATAAGGAAACTAAATGATATGCTTATATTTGTCACCTTTTATTTATTTATCTGTTATTTAGTTCTGTTTCTCCATTTTAATGTTTTAAGACTCAGAGAACTTTGCTGTCCTTTAAGAGATAACCTGTTTGATAAATTACCATTTATAAGTCCTTGGATATAATGAAAATCCCACGTTTCTCTCTATTACCGAAAGAGCAATGAATGAATGATACCATATCTTGGCCTGGTCTAGCTTAGTTGCAAGTCAGCCTTTTGATGGTGAATACCAAATGAGTCCACCATTCACTTATGGTCTTAATTGTGTGTGTGCATAATAATTAGCCAAACCCATTAGGGCCAACATTTCTGTCATGTCTAAATAATCAAGTGTTCTCCTTTGACTGAAATGCCTTATGATCATTCTACAAGATTTCTTAATCAGTCACATCAACTTCTACTTTGAAATTTTTTTCATCTATCCCAAGAGATAATAAAACAAGAGCCTACCATATGCTGCCCACAAGAGACTGAGTGAAGGACAAAGTGATTTCATGCAAATGGAAGTGACAAGAAAGCAGGGGTAGCAATACTCAAATCAGACAAAATAGACTTTTAAAAAAGGCCATAAAGAAAGATAAAAGAGGACAATATATAAAGATCAAAGGAGCAATATATAATGAAGAGTACATTACACTCATTAACATTAGGGGAGCACCTAAATATATAAAACAAATACTAACAGATATAAAGAGAGTAATTGAAATGGGGACACACTAATAGTAGACTTTAACACCTCACTAACATCACTGGATAGATGTTCTAGACAGGAACTCAGTAAGGCAATGGAGATACTAAATGACATAATAGAACAGTTGGACTTAGTTGATACTTTTAGGACATCACAGTCCAAAAAACCAGAATATCCATTCTTTTCAAGTTTGCGTGGAACATTCTCTAGGATAGACCACA